TTGATTCCACGTTAATCATAGCGCAATATTAGCGATTCATTTCGTTTAAATCTTATTCGTGGCTTATGTTGCTTAGTAAATAGTCCATAGTTGGAATATATTGTACAAGTCTTATTATTCGGCTTCTTAATATGAAAAATATCATATTCCCTATATATGTATTTGGTTTGGGTTGGGATGTCGCACATTAGAATTTCATTATCTTTATTGGACAATTAGAAGAGGTTTCATGGCTGTAGCATAAACACCTGTACGGTAAACCAATCTCAATTTTATTATTTCTGGGTAACCCCTCCATTATAAACTTGTCTATGACTATTTATGTTAAAAATATACGGATCCAAGTTTCAATTAAAATAACTACCTACATGGATTTTTTTTTTAATTTATCTAATATATCAATATCATTAACATTTTTATTAACACTTCGAATCGTACGGATTTGTCATCATATGATACAATAATCACTTTTAACAACACAGATGGACTCCTTGATGCCCTTGATACTACTTGATAACATAACTTCAAGTTCATTAGCACGTTTATTAACACTTCAGATATTAATATAGAAAATATCAAAATTTGACTTGTCATTAATTATATGATATAATAATAATTTTTAGCATAACAGATAAATTCATTGATTATTGTCTGTATCAAGAAGATTGTAATTTCCAACATAATTATCCATTGTAAATAAAAGAATATGAAATAACAACACTAACAATGGGAAAATCGAAAGCTGAAGATACTACACGTAAAATGGTGTCCATTGGCGCAAATATGCCTTATCCGAAAGTTGATAGTTTCGGAAATACAGGGTGGTGAAAGTAAAAATTTTAAATCGTTTTTTTGCGATTATTCTGAAACTGTAGGTTGAGAACTTGAAAATTTGTGAAACTATATTTTTTTAAGCGACGAATAAGATGCGTGTTGCAATTTCAGCGTTGGTCATAGAGGGCGCCACTTATGACCAATTTTACCGAAAATTTAGTTAATAATTTTTTACCCTGTATGTCTAATATGACACTTGATTCAAAACGTGAAAAAGCAATAATTTTTCCATTAATTATGTACTCTTGTTTCATTTCGGTATCTCGATCCGTTTTCGAGAAAAATCGATTTAACGAACACTATGTTTTAATAATACGAGAAATTAAAAGCGAAACCAACTAAGTGTTTCTTCATGTTGTGATTTAAAGTAATAATTGTTCGAAGAACCCACCGTTGACACTGATACACTTTACACAACGTTTTCTGAAATATCTTCAGGTTTGAAACAACATATTGGGATTGCGTCTGACTTCGCTGGCAGCGATTCGTGTTCTTTGGCACAACTCTTCACACGAAGTCCGGACTTCTGGGTGGACAAGCAAAAATGCTTACATGACCAATCCAGCGATTTGGAAAAATTACATTTAAATATGCACGCACTGGACGAGAAAAATACGGTGGAGTTCCGTCATGCATGAACCACATGTCTCTTCTTAAATAAAGTAGAACTTCTTCAAGCCGTGGAAGCATTTTTGCTTGGCCACCCAGAAGACCAGACTTCATCCTCTTGATTTTTCTATTTGTCCTCGAATGAAAGATATCGTTTACAAAGAATCTATTGGTTCATATGAAGACTTGTGGCAAAGAATACAAATCGCTGCCAACGAAGTCAGACGCAATCCCAATATGTTTCAATCTCGAAGATCTCTCAGAAAACGTTGTGTAAAGTTGTGTTTTCAACGGTGGATTCTTCGGACAATTACTTTAAATCATTATTACGTAGGTATTTCAATTGTTTTATCGTTAATTGTTGCAATAACATGAAGAAACACTTAGTTTGTTTCGCTATTACCTTCTCGTATTATCAAAACATAGTGTTCGTTAAATCTATTTTTCTCGAAAACGCATCAAGATACCGAAATGAAACAAGAGTACATAATTAATGGAAAAATCACTGCTCTTTCAGGTTTTGAACCAAGTTTCATGTTAGACGTACAGGTTAAAAAGTTATTAACTAAATTTTCGGTAAAATTGGTCGTAAGTGGCGCCCTCTATGAGCAACGCTGAATTTACAACACGCATCTTATTCGTCGCTTAAAAAAATGTAGTTTCACAAATTTACGTGTAGTATCTTCAGCTTTCGATTTTCCCATTGCTAATGAATCACCCTGTATATTTTAAAAGAAATAAACTAAAAAGGAATAATTATGTATTACTTTTATATAGGTATGTTATACATTTTATCAAAATATTTATTTTAAAACCAGCACCAAAATAAGATAAGTAAATGCAGAAGTAATTGAATATCTTATTATAGTTATACAGGGTCTTCTACAAGCTCTACGACAAACTTTGACAGATGGTAGCTGATAAATAAAAATGCTGGTTGCTATAACAGTACTTATTATTTGTGTCATGTTATTTATTCATTTGACACTTTCCATTAAAGTGCTAAATAAAAAATGTAATTATTTACAACTGAATATACAGATATTGTCTTTGTATATGGGTATCCCAATGGGAACGCCAGACAAGCAGCTGGAAAATACCGTCAAATATAACCAAATAGACATCAACCTGCCCATGCAGTCTACGAGGGCTGTCTAAAAAGTTCGTATAGTGAGCGTCTGTTTGCTATCAGAAGGAGAGTGGGGGCAAAACAGGGCGCTCTCCCCTCTCTCCACAACCCAACGGAGCCCGAGTCCCAGTAGAAGTAGACGCCCGAATGTCCAGCGAGTCAGTCGATAGTTTTACTGCTTAAGAACATTGACACCTTTCTCAGACTCCCGTGACCATGGAAATTTCTGACAACGAGGAACAGCGCATCGTCATCAAGTTTCTCACAAAACTTGGGAGAAATGGACCCCAAATCTTCCAAGATTTGACCACAGTTTATGGGGAAAATGCGTTTAAAGAACCAACAGTTTTTAAATGGATGAAACGGTTTCGTGAAGGTCGGGAAAGACAATGCTCATTGTTTTTTTTTCTTCCAGTGGCATTGTGCATCATGAATTTGTTCCACCAAGTCAAACAGTAAATGGACAATTCTACGTTGAAGTACTAAAGATGTTGAAAGCGCGAATTTTTCATGTGCGCCCCGATTTGGCTAGGAAGAAAGATGAACTGAAGAGGTGTTTCCAGCAGTGGAAGCAACGTTGGCGGAAGTGTATTTAACTTGTGGGGGAGTACTTTGAAGGGGATACTGTTGAATTACCCAATTAATTGTAAAATAATTTTTTTATTCAACATCTATACGAACTTAAGCGGTAACCCCGCTCCAGAAAAGGCCATTTGTCCTATTAAAGTGAATATACAAAATGAAGAATATTTATAGATGCTGTCATTGACAACTCTTCAATTAGTGTTCGGCGTATAGCAAGTAATCTTCATTTATCACCGAATTTGGTATGGCGTGTATTGAACAGAAATATCACATCCGTTTCATCGCCAAAATGTACAAGCGTTACATTCTGGAGATGCTCCACAGCGATCAGAATTTTGTCGCTGGTTATTTCAACAATATGCACAAAATGATGAAGCGTGTTTTACTAGGGACGGCATAAATAATAATCGTAATGAACATATCTGGGCGTTACAAATTCTGCATTCAATTAAATCAAGACGACTTCAGCAACGTTTCAGTGTCAATGTTTAGGGTATCATTTTCAACAATAATTTACTGCCTTTCCATGTTTTAAATAATCGTTTAAATGCATATCTGTATAGAAATTACTTGGAAAACAACCTTTATGACGTAGGGCTTAATACTGTTCAAAATGTGTAGTATCACCACGATGGTGCACCACCACACAGCGGAAGACAAGTAACTGTTTGGTTAAACGATCATTTACCGCATAAATGGACAAGTCAATAAGATCCAATAGCATATCCACCTCGTTCCCCAGATCTAAATCCTTTGGACTTTTATTTATGGGGACATAAGAAGTAGCTTGTCTACCATGTTGAAATCACTACACGTCAGCAGTTTGTTGAAAGAATTTTGGATGCAGTTAACGAGATAAGAAATTATCCAAATCTCATCCGTCGTGTGACGGAATCTTTAGTTTGCTTGCATTCGGATATTTTGAACAAATTTTATAGTCTTAAGATTTGTTAATTTGGTTAATAAAGGTTAAGTAATGTTTAAACACAAATAATTACTGTTATAGCGATCATTATTTCTATTTATCAAGCTACTATGATTGAAAAAACGAATCGAACCTATGTTTATATAAGAAAAAATATATCAAATTAAATTACATTTAATTTCACTTTGTCATGTATGTGTTTTTTAGTAAATAATATTTAGATACCTATATAATTTTTAATTTTCGTTAGAGGATTACTGATTACGACTTGCTGATATTATTCGGTACTGCTCAGGGTATGTAGGCCGCAGAGTAGTTGTTTCTCTCAATGTCATTAGTTCACAGTTAGATATCTTTTTTATATCTATATTTTGGTATCAAAGAATATTGTTTGACTTCTTTTGACAAACATTTAGGAAACTTTTCTGGATTTATTTGAACTACCTTAATATCTTTAAAATAAAGTAAGTACTTGTGATGACTTAATTTGAAAAAATATTTTAAAATGGTCTTGTTAAGATGTGGATGTTTCTAATATTTTCCATCATTTATGTACATTCACAAATAGTGAGGGCCTCAAGTGAGAGCCCTGCGGGATGCAGGAAATTACTAAGATAAGTGATGCATCACAGAGAGATCTGCTCGTAGGCATTACATTATGAAAATTTGGCAGTAACGTTACATTGCACACATACAATGAACTGAGCCATTACCGAGTGAAGTCCACATAATGTGGAACGAGGACAGCCATGATGCGACAAACGAATTGAGTAGTCTCTTGGTCAAGTGTGCCGTTGCATAACGCCGTCGCTGGAAATTCGAACCCACACGAAGCGATATGATCCCTCCTCGGCCACCATGTTATCTCCCAATCCCAACCCAACCACTTTGCCCACATTCAGTATCGAACGGTGTCGCGAACACGGTACAACGCAAAAGCGAGATTACGATGACAGATGCTTTCATGAAGTGCACGGAAACGGTGCAATGACAATATGAGTGCGCCCGGTAAGGACCCTGGGGAAGACCCCAATAAAGCCCCGGACAGTCCCAGAAGCCCGGCGAGCAAGCGGCTCAAGGAGAGGGTCATCTTCTTCGAGGAGCTCTGGACCGGCTCCAAGCCGGGAGCCTCTGGAGAGGGCTTCCACGCGGAGGACAGAGCCAAGGATGCGGGGCAAAGTCATACGGACGGCGCTGCCCAGAGGCACACGCCTTCCTCGTCGCCAAAGCATGTTGTGCAACACACTCAAGATGTCAATCCCGACGGCAGCTTTCAGGCACGGGGTTTTTTATTATATATTTTAATGCTTTCGAACTTTTTTTTTCTATATGTGGTAACTATATAGAAATATCCCAAGTCCAATATTGCTTCACAAAACTGAAATAAAAATATAATTTGTTTACTTCGATGATACAAAGGTCAAGGCTTAGGTTCTTCATTATTTTCATAAAAATTTGCAAAATGAACTGCTTTCTACGTTATACAATTATTTGTTGCTTTTTAGTAGTTGTATATATCACTTAAATGTTGTTTTTTGTTATCAGCTTTCATTGTCTTGCATAGGATTAGGCAATCAGATAACACTCCCACAATCAATTGTTATGTCAACAAAATTATGGGAGGGAATCAGTACAAAAATTGTAGTATTTATAACAATATACCGTCCGAAAAACATCAGAACATTAAGATATAACACAAAACAAATATGCAAATTCTATGAATTTAAAATGAATTTCTAAAATGAAGAACGTTAATTTAAGAGATTCGAAATAAAATAGTTAAAAAAACGTATGCTTTCCAAAGTTCAATGGTTGACTAAAATCTTTTTTGTCAAAGGAAACAAAAACAAGGAAAGATGTGTTAATAACAAAATTACGACCAACTTATTTTCTTATTATTAAAATTGTAATTTTCAAAAAAAAAATGTAATTTCAATTTCCAATCAACTTGTTTCTTCAATAATTATTCTAAATTATTACAGAAAATTGATTCAAGTAAACCCTTTTTTGTTTAAATGTCACCTAATGTTTTTAAATTAAAATATTTACCAAATCAAAACTTAGCTAACAAAAATAAGTTTTCGGATTTTAAAAATTTTCTGCTAGTCCGAGCGACTTCGCCAAAGTTGAGAAAATTATTTATTCGAATATATCGCCCATTCTTTATTTAGAGATGATATTTGTATAGTAGGTACATCTTATTTTCCATGCCATACTGCAGTATCTATATTACCATTAAATATATCAAGTTGCAATTTTCGCAAAGCTTAGTTATTTTTTCGAGAAAAACCTGCAATACGTTTTTAGTTTTTAAAATACTGTTGAATTTTTTTGAGAAACGTAGGCATTTTACCACACAGTTTTTTTATTATTGAGTCTAGTGGCGTATTGATTTTTTTAAATAACTGTAAGAGTTACCTATTTATATATCAAATTGTTATTATTTCAATGTTAAATATAATATTCTGCTCTTTCCAACAAATATACATTGTGTAACAAAAATAATCGTCCAGAAAAAGTTCTAGAAACATTTCCTTATTATTCAGGTGGTCAATATTAACAGAAACCTGATTTATTTTGGACAGTTAGGAAGGAGAAAACATTTTTCTCGAAATCGGTACATCAGTATATACTACATGCAGCAATAAAACATTTTTGTAAAGCCTTTAGGTACTCTTTCATATTTAAAATAGTTTGGACAAAAAAGTTTGAGCGAAAATTACTACGTATAGCTCTGGAACTATGTCTTTGTGTATAAAAAACTGTATAATACATATACGATTGTGGAAAACCAAAAGTTTCATATGTCAAATCTGAATGAAATCGCTTTAACACCTTGTATCTCGAAAACGACACATGTCTTTTTTTCTTGTGTCATGACATATAATCTGCTATTAAAACTATAGTATTTATATTTACCACAAAAAGTCATAGTTTAACAGAATTGTACTCAGCTCACTGTCCCAATTTTTTTTCAGTACCTTGTTAGATATTGTCCCAGCTGTTTCATACATTTATTTTATACGAGTTGGCCCTGACTACCAACAAATAAACTACTAAACATACTTTAGTACCGTTGTATAATTAGCTATGAAGAAAACCATATTTATATATTTTCTATTTACTTCAAAAAAAAAAAAACTTAAGTAAGTATTTATAATTTTATATTATTAATTAAAATAATAAAATATATTATTAAATATTTAAAATACAAAAATTTTATTTCAAAAAAAGATTGTATACCTATTTACATGAAATGTTTTATTTTTTAGAGAGCTTAATATTCGATTTAAATAAATAATATGTATGTTGTATTTGGTGATATATGAGGATTTCTCTCAAAAAAGTGATCAACGTTTACAAAAACCGCAACCTTTTAACTTAAATTATAATTGAGATTTAGCATGAAATGAAAAATGAGATGCACTTTACATTTTCTAGAATGTAACGACTTTTAAGGTTCTAATTTAATAGGTAAATTCTGAGATAAAATTCTGTAAACTCTGAGATAAAATTTTCAAAAAATTGTAATGTGAAAATAAAAAAATATATAAGGTATCTTATGCAGAAAATTATTTGGAACATGTTTTTAAATATGAACAGCAACGGCTTTTTGCTCTTCGACAGACATTTATTTTGTGGTAATAATGATCAACATGGATGTGTTTGTATTTATCCGTCCATTCGGTTAATCGTGAGTGAGACAGGCGATTCATGATGATTGATAATGATGGTGTGGTCGATTAAAAAATAAATTACTTTGCCCCAGAAAAACATTTCCCCTCAAAATTTTCCCAGGGCGATATAATACCCTGATTTATAATTCTCGTTTTATTGAAATTTGCTCGGTCGTTAATGATCACCTACACTGATTTTTTTCCAGCTTTTGGTTTATCCGGAAATAAGGGAACTGCATTTTTGGGTGACTTTAATATTTCTTATTAAGTATATTTAATTGTTTTATACAATCATATTATTCTGCATCAAGAATACTTTTATTTCCGTATATACAGGGCGTTACTAAAAATATATGCCGACGTAGCTGGGAAGATTCCCCATAAAAAATAAGTTTTTTAATATTTTTAGATTTTTTTTGGAACACTTTAGTTATTAGTAAACAGGATGGTGGTGTATATTTTTACTACTTTTTGTAATTGTACTTAGAGGTTTAAAATTTCGTTTTTTTTTACCAGAAAAATTGGAAAATTAAAAATATTATTGCATATTATAAACAAAGTAACATTTAGAAATTATTTTAATGAAAAGATTATCGGACTATTTCCTCATTTAGAAGAAACTGATAAGATGTTTTATGTTCGAGATCATCAAGAACGTGTTGTTCTAGGATTAGAAAATTCGGAAGCATAAGATATGCATTCAGAAGACTCAAACTTAAACGTATTCTCTATTATTTGCGATGGTTTGTTTAGTTTGCTATTGGAAATTAGAAAAAAAATATTTTAAATATTGTTTTTTATTCGTACAGAATTATTTCGTTTCTTGTCGGTGTCTACTCATGAAATTTTAAGATCATGTTTCTTTTTGCAGTTTTAAATATTACATTCAGTTTTAATATTTCATTTATTTAAAAAATTATTTTGATAAGTATTTTTCAAAATCAAGTTTTGTTACGAGTTTCTCTCAATTTCTAATTTTTTTATTATTTCTTCTTTATCTTTACAATAAATGTAAAATAGAAACAGCTGCCACGTAATTGTGCAATCGAAAAGCAAAAAAGTCAAAGATGTATATACTTTTTTGCAAAATTATTTCAATATTGAAATTATACGCAATCCTCTGACAAAACCGTCAACTTTTTAATGCTTATCTCAAAAACGAACTTATGTTCGTAGGAACTTTTTTTCAACCAATTTTTTTAAATCAATCAAATCATAAAAAATGCTATCGCGAAGTATCATACTAAATAGGTGAAAAAATAAAAATAAATAAAAAAACAAATAACAGTTCTATTATTTTATCGATTTTTTAAGTCATTAATCTATTATTTTCAGTTTATATGTATTTACATTTGAATAGAATGAACAAATTGGGATACAAGGACGAATTATTAGAACATAATTTAAAAATGTATAAACAGAAAATGAAATATGTTCTTTCAACTAAAATATTTACCACCCTGTATCTTAGAATCGAACATTTTCGTGTTCATATAGAAATTTTGTTCCTTAAATACCATGTGTCGTAAAAATTTGTAAACCATTTCCTAAACGCCCTGTACATCCAAATTCTGAGTATTGTTGATACAATTAATTATGTTATTAATTCTCCAAGTTACATAATTTCTGTAGATTTTACGTAAGTTTTATGACACTGGCTGAAGTATTTATAAATATTATTCACCACTCTGGGTACGAGTAATTTTTATGTCTTAAACTAGCGGGCACACCTCGTGCACATGAATTAAATATTCAAGGAGGTTCCCCTCTTGAGGTTCAGAGTGAATTTAAATTAAGTTTGCCGCTAACGAATCGCCGGCGCCATTTTTTTCACTGTTACATATATTTAGATGATTTGCATCGTGATAATGATACTATTTTTAGCTCGTGACATATTTTTGTAAACATCGTAAAGCTAAACAGTAAATTTTGTAATTAGTGCATCGTAATTTTGCGATTTATTTTATTTTATACGCCAAAATGTTTCATTCTCCTAAATGATTTAGCTAAAAATTGTGTGGATCGTCATTATATCAAAATATCCCAAGTAATACTTTCAGGATTATTCTAATTTATTTTTTTCGTTTTGACCTTAGACTGTTTAAACAGTACTTATAAAAAAATATAAATAATTTATATCTCATTTAGAAAATGATTAGTGAAAAAATACTTAAAATATTGACTTTGAAATATTACAACGATAGTTATCTCTTGACTTTTTTGCATAGCTTTTACTGTTTCTGCGCAAAGGAATTTGGTACTATAGATAAATATAGAAATATTCAGGGTGTTAAAGAACAATGCGTCAAAAAGGAAAAATGAAAAGTGTTTTCCTGTTCAAATTTAAGAATATTTTCTTATACTGAGCATTTACTTTCAAATTTTGGTTAGAAGGTATTAAAGATTTGAAAGAAGGTATCAGCAGATTCATCAGAAAATAGGATATATACCAGGTGCGTTCCAAAGTAAAGAGGACTTTTCAAAAATAGGTATTTCTAGTGAGGCCATCTATCGACAATTATATGCGTTGGAAAGGTAGATCCTTCATTGAGATACTGTAAAAATTTCATGGCATTTGGACCAACAGAAGCGGGGTTATT